GTCTTGTCAACCGTTCCTTGTTTCTGCCGCAGCTTTCAAATCCAAACCTGTATGCTTCTATGCTGTCACTATGGCTCAAAGGGTATATGTACAATGAAGGAAGCACAGAATCACGTATCAACATGTAGACTATACAGAGACACAGAGACCTGTTGCGTATGACTGTCATGGATTCGTACTTGTCTGTATGTATAAAGTAACCATCCAAATAACTCCATGCTTTGTGGCCGGGAACAATACTATAGCAAGAAACAAAACACGCGGCATTCCAAAGCATATGCGCACAGCCACATGTCGTGTCCTGCCGTTGGTCGAAAAAGAAAATTGTCAGAAAACGAAGTGGCAAACCTCCATGAATGTCTCGCGGTGCCATGCGCATCCGAGAACGCTGTGCTGAAAATTTGGAATATTGCCAATCAATTGAGAAGTGACAGACCCGATGCCTGTAAGTCGACTTTGAAGGCTGCCGCTCGCGAACGTCTGCGTGACGCGCGGGCCTGCTATGAAGCGTGGCGGGTGCCAGGCAGTGACGAAACCATCTGGATGCCGCGTGCGCCGGAAATGCTGCAATTTATGGTGGACGAGTCGCCTGCGTGGCGTGCTGCCGTGTCAGATGCGTTGGACGTCAACGACGGGGTTTTACGTCCAATCATCTATCATGATGACATCACGTGTGGAAACATTTTGGCAGTCATTAAAAAGAAAAAGGTGACTGCGGTGTATCTCACTGTACGTGAAATGTTCCCTCATGTGAGCCTAGAAGCTGCGTGGCTTCCCTTGCTGGTAATGCAACGGGTCCAACAGGAGGAAGTGCCTGGAGGTTTGTCTGCAGTGATGGCAGAATTGGTGCGTCGTCTCAGGCGGGCTGGAAGAGGCTTTGCGTTGGAAATAGATGGACGAGTTAGGCACTGTAGCTTCACGGTGCCATTTCTCTTTGTGAGTGACATGGATGCTCAAAGAGCAACTTGGTCGATCAAAGGCTCCGCAGGTTTGAAACCATGCATGTTCTGCGCCAACGTCATAGCAAAGCACGCCCTGCGCGGGCAGCATGAGTCATTTGAAACGATCGCTTCTGCAGCTTGTGACAAGTTCAAGGCAATTTCGGATGCTGACTTTCAAGCAGCGGTTCGTCATATCGCAGCACAGCCAACAAAAGCGTCCAGGGAACAATGGGAAAGAGCATATGGCTTGACATGGGATCCCCATAGCCTTTTGGCAGACGCAGATGCATTGTCGTGCTTGCCCCCCAGCGGCGCATGCAACGACGTCTTGCATGCGTACTTCTCCAACGGTGTGGCGTCTGTAGAACTGTGGCAGCTTGTCAATACACTGGGTCCGCTAGGAATTTCTCTGGGCAACCTGCGTGGTTTTGCATTGCAGAAACAATGGCTGCGATATGGGAAGAATGTGTCGCCGTCGCAGACGTGCATCAAACATATTTTGTCAGACAAGATGTTTGATAATGAACGATCCTTCAAAGGAGATGGCACGGCAACGGAACCTCTCGTCTTCCTGCTTTGGTATGTACTTTGTGAGCACGTGGAGCCAACTCCTGCTCTGAGTTCTGCAATGAGAAGTTTTGAGGGTCTCCATGCGTGCGTGCGTGAGCTGCGCTTCCTCCGCAAATATCCCGGAGCTCTCAGCTCAGAAGAACAAGTAGCACGCCTACGTGGCCTTCAAAGTTTGCATCAACGCGACTTCAACGAAGCCTACGGGGCAGAGAACAGTATCCCAAAGCATCATCACCGATTTCATATTCCTGACGGAGCTTTGAAACTTGGATTCCTTCCGCACTGTGAAACACATGAATCCAAACATCGCTGCCTCAAAAGTGGTGGAATCGTCGATAACCAAAGAGGCAAACTTAACGAGCACGCCAACTTCCAGTATGAGGTGGTGACACGGATGTTGAAAATCACTTGCTCTGAATCCGTTGAATTTGGCTTGACACGTTGGGAATTATTAACACCGACGAAGCCGGCGTGCCAAGCCATGCGGGCAGAGTTTCAAGATGAGACGCTTCTGAGCGGCAAACGTATGCAATTAAGGCGACATGTCTTGAAAGAAAACCAGCCGATCATTATTGAAAACACAGCCTATATAGTCGAAAAGTGCCTGAGTGGCGCACGCGCAGGTCTTTGGCTGCAGTTGAAACCGTTGGTTCACAAACAAACTTTCCCATGGGGAACTCAATGGACGGATGACAACATCCCGCCCCAATGCTGCAAACCCAAGGCCAAACATGCGCTGATGACACCTGTGTGGTGGCAATTTGAAGCACCCACATACACGTTCCTCGGATGAACGGAAAGATTTCCCCGAGAGGGAAAAATTCAAGTTTGCAAGCACTAATTAGCACAAAATAAACATGCAACACCTGACCAAACGCATTCTGGGAGAAAAAAGGCTGCCGCTGCTGACGTCAGTTTTTTCAAAAAGACAATGACATGGCTTCAACTTAGCTCGGACTTGGTAAGTCCAATCTAAATCAAAAAAAAGGTCATATCTAAGTCAGGCAAGTTCAAGACAACTAACATAAATCAACCCTATATTTTTAAAAAAACATGTGGTACAGGTCTCGGATCGTCTGTCGCGAGATCAAGCGATCCAAGAATGCGGAATATATCCCAGAGCCCAGAGCATGCAAGCTTTAGTGCAATGCCGCCTCTTGAGGCTCTGAAGATGTTACTGTCACTCATGGTAACTCTCCGAACCTCAAAGCGCAATCGAAAACCTCTTAAGCTACGCCTACTGGACATCTCCAGGGCGCATTTCTACGGACATGCGCAGCGAGAGATTTTCGTAACTCTCCCGGAAGGTGATCAAGAAGAAGGTATGGTGGGACTGCTGCTGAAAAGCATGTATGGGACGCGCGATGCAGCCCATATCTGGCAGCAATCCTATACAGATGTGCTGCTTGCAGCAGGGTTCAAAAGATCCGCTGCATGGCCAGCAATCTTCTTTCACGAACGCTTGGAAGCAAGGCTGCTAGTCCATGGAGACGACTTCGTCATTTTGGGCGACGACGCGGCTCAGGAGTTTGTGGAGAAAGCACTAAGAGAAAAGTACGATCTTCGTGTCGATGGGAGCATTGGCGTAGGAGAAGCAAAGCAGGAGTTTTGTGTCTTGAACCGTCTCGTACGCTTCGACGAGCGGTCAGGAACAATCTTCTACGAGCCTGATCCACGTCACGCCGAGATCTTGCTCAAAGATTTAGGCATGGAGACGTGCAAACCAGTCAAGAGCCCAAACGAGAAGTTAACTGCAGAAGCGCTAGCCAAAAGGTTATAATAGAACTGGATGTGGTTGATCCACACAGGATCAGTCAGTATACGTTCGCTTACTATGCGAGCAGCGTTCTTAGCCCAAGACCGTCCTGATTTGTCAGAGACAGTCAAGTGCCTCGCACGTAAGATGCAAGGACCCACCGAATCTGATTTTGGTGATCTGAAGCGTCTAGCTAGGTACCTGAAGGGCAATATGCGAATGGTGCAGAAGTTCACCCCGCAGAAGTTCAGCAATGTTGTGTCAGTCCATGCTGACTCGGACTTTGCAGGCTGTCTTCTCACTCGGAAGAGTACTACGGGTCTAGTCTGTTACTATGGGCGCCACACTTTACGCCACTCGAGTAACCTACAGTCCACAGTCAGTCTTTCATCAGGAGAAAGCGAGTACTATGCCTTGGTCAAGGCAGTGGCTTCCGGAATGGCAACCCAGGAGCTGCTTAGAAGCTGGGGCATTAACGTGAATCTCCAGGTGTACACTAACTCAGCTGCAGCACTTGGAACGTGCAATCGGCTTGGACTTGGGAAATCGAGACACATACAGACCAGATACCTCTGGATTCAAGAGAAGTTGGCCGAGCGATCGTTCGAGCTGATCAAGATTGACACCAAGCTGAATACCGCTAACATCTGTACCAAAGCATTGGCAAGCGAAGCTGCAGAACGACATCTGAAGGCAATGGGTTTCGAAGTAGTTCAAGGACGTTCATCAATAGCAAAGGCTGTTGTGTAGTGTCCCAAAGTGGACAATGGCCTAATCACCCACTGTCCAGGAGGGGTGATTCGGGACACGTACCCTCATAAACCATGAGGTGTATGTACCTTGTTTTGGCTCAAGTAAAATAGGAGTGTTGCAATTTTCTGATCACCTTACAGAGTATAGCTCTTGAACCAAGATAAAATATAGAGCATATCCTTTAATATCTTCAATAGTGTATGGGATTTGTTTTTTTCGCAACGTAGGGTTTTTTTTGCGAAAAGTGCGCCGCGCCACATAGTACGTGTTTTTCCCTGCCACGGGGGGGAGGGGGTGGGTGGGTGACCTTGATTCAGACGAAGCAAAAACGCACCGCAAGAGAACAAAGGAACAAGTACAAGCCAAGAACAGAAACAAGTACAAACCAAGAACGGAAACAAGAACAGCGCCTTCCAATCAGACACGCCGGCAGGCCGGCGGATTGCTACCACACGTCTGCTCCACATGTTTCACTTCTAGTGTTGTGACTGCGACTGCGACTACGTTACTTTTACCATTAGACATATTGCTACTAGCACGCGTGCATTTGAAGAGCAAAATCGATTGTAACAACGCCTCGTTGGGGTTTATGTTCCACATTTTGTGTTCTTCTGTCCTGCTGGCAACGCGCATGTGAACAGTTTGACCTGCTTCCTGAAACTGGCCTGGTTGCAGGCGTCTCACTTCTTGAAGCAAAGGGGGGCATATCCAGTCAGCAAGATTACGAAATTGATGTGTAGACTTTGCCAGTTCACAAAAATTGTGGTTTGCATGTTAGGTGCTCCTTGCCATCTCAGTGAAGCGGGGAAACGAGGGGACAACTGCAGAAACGGCTGGAAAAATGCGTGTTGTTCAGATGGGGTGTTAATTGACGCATGTTGACATGTTTCGTTTGTCTTAGTCTGTTGGCATGCATTCGGTGCTTTTGGTAAAAACACCAATGAACAATTAATTCCATCTCTGCAGATTCTCAGGTTCACAACTTGGCGGCGGGGCCCTGCAATGAAATGCCATGGATTTGAGGTTTGCCGCGGAGGAAGGCGATTGGGGCGATGATGACGCAGAGGTCGAAGACGTACAGGGTGAGGGGGTTGAAGAGATTCCGGCTGTGAAGCACAAAGAGATTCTTCCAGCAACTTCACCGGCGCTTCCGTCTGAGAAGCCTTTGGCCAAGGATGCGGGGCACACCGATGTTTCAGCTCGACCCGCCCCTCGGCCCCCGTCCAAAATCCACATGGATCCACACACGCGGTACTTTGTTATTAAAAGCAGCAGTCACAAAAACATTGTGCTGTCCATTGAGCACAGGGTCTGGGCAACTCCACGGAGCAATCAGGAGAAGTTGAACGAGGCGTTTCGGAGTGCTTCCCATGTGATCCTGGTTTTCTCTGTGACTGGCAGTGGTTGTTTTCAAGGCTATGCCAAAATGCTTGGTCCAGTGGGAAGTAGTTCAACGGATGTTTTCCAAGGCTTTGGCCGGGCTTTCGAAGTGCGGTGGCTCCGCTTGGATGATTTGGATTTCGAACAGGTCTCAAACATCCGCAACCCGTGGAACGAGAACAAATCTGTGAAGGTGTCCAGAGATGGCCAGGAGCTGCCGAATGACGTGGGTCGTCAACTCTGCGACACTATAGATGCCAAAGTCTACGAGGGTGATCCGTCTGGTTACATCGATGACAGCCAAGAACTAGAAACCGGTGATCCTTCACTTCGTGCCACGCCCCGGCCCTTGCATGCATTCCATCCTGCGCAAAGTGCCCCGCCCATGCAGCCCGTGGCCATGCAGCCCGTGGCGATGCCGCCAATGCATTGGATTCCGCATGCCGTGCACGTGCCACAAGCGATGCCAGTCGCGGTGCCCGTGCCAGTGGATCCACGGGCCGCACCAGGCCCTCAGTGGTTTGGGCCGGGGCCTGACACAGAACCTGGCAGCCGGAAGCGACGTCGGTCAAGTCAAACCTCTGCTCCGCCCAACGACTGGCAAGGCAGAGCGCCCACCATGGTGCCCAGTGCCCCGACGTCAGCGCCAACGCCGCAGACTGCCCCGCAGACGTGGTTGGGAGCCTCGCCGCGGTGAAAACAACTGTGAAGGCGCGGTGTGTTGTTGCCTAACTGCGGCTTATGGTTTCTGAAGGTTACATCACTGCATGGCTGGCAGCTGGCTGAAGGAAGTACAAGGGGTTAAGTGACGTTTGGGTGACCATGACGTTGTCAGCCCAGGGATCCACAGCATCACTGGCTGCTTTTGCCTTAAGCCCAAGCCTTCATGCATCTAATTGCGCAAGACATATCTTTATTTACGGTGTAGCGACCACTCCAGCTACAATTTTCTGGTGCGTAGTGCATCTAAGACATTGGTGATGATGTGCCAGCTAACCAACCATTCCCGCTGACAAAACTATTCAAGTGGGGGGCTGTTTCGCATTAAACACGTCTAAGAGCTATTGCAAATTACACTTAAGCAATTCCACTTCAGCAAGCAATGGGCACTGCGCAATGTTCAGCTAGCCTTTGGACTGAAGCTGGTCAGTGGGGGAATGGGACGAGAGAGAAGTGCAAGCTTCCGGATTTGGTTTAGTTTTCGTTTGCGCGTTTTGTAGGTGACTTGGATGGAGTAGAACTGGGCAAATCTAGTTGAAAGAATGCCTGCAAGCATTCACTGAGTTGTTGGCTGTGATTGTCATGGCTGCAGCGACATCTCCAGCCAAGGTGGTTGTGTATGCCCCAAGAGCGACAATGCACAAGTGGTTGAGCAGGACACACATGACACAAATATCACAGTGGCATGGCATTCTTGATGGTGTGGGCTGATATGTTCTTAATCTATCTTGCGATTGTGTTTCAGGCCCTTAATTATTCGCCTTGCGATTCCTGTTATGCAAGCCATCGGATAGATTTCCAACATCGAAAGGCTATGTGGCATAGACTTTTGTCGTGATGCGTTTTGAATGACATGCACACCAGCATCGCCTTCGAGCTCTAAAGGACCGGTCTCAAAGCTTTGCAAAGGCTTCTGCTGCTCTCGGTCCTGCTTATGTCTTCGAAGATGGTGCGACCTACAGCCACTTGTCAGGGTATCAACTGCTTCCGCATGTGTTAAAAAGAAACTTACATGGCTGGTTCTCCCATGCCAGCACATTTCAGTGCCGCAGTTGGTATACTTGTGCATGGTTCTGCGGGAGGGCAGAAGATGATCATGCAAATATTATCAAATATTGCTGAATTTGCGTAGCTCAGGGCACAGAAATGCAGTCATTCCTGGATTTGCATAGATTTACTTGGGGTAATTCTCAAGCCTGACAAGAAGGTGTGCAAGCGTTTCAGTTTCAGACTGAGGTGGCCAGTGGAAGGGGAATATGAGACACGGAGCCTTGACGAGCATTGTGTGCGGCAATGTGGGGCAACTTGAGCCAGTCATGTTGTCCATGGAAAGAGGCTTGTTTTGAAAGCGCCTGTGCAAAGTTTGGCTGGGTCCTGGTATGCTTGCGAGCGCACGCGCTATGCACAGAGGTCATTATGCACATTAATCCCCATGTTTTTCAACCCCTTCGCACGTCAGAATCATGTTAAATTGTCATCCTCGTTTTTCTCATCCTCCCATCATGTGAAATTGTAATTTTCATTTCCTTTACACGTAGACACTTTTACTTTTACACGCAGGCGCTTTTTACACAGAGACGCCTTTACACACAGACGCTTTTTACACGGAGACGCCTTTACACACAGGCGCTTTGACACACAGACCCTTTTTACACACAGACGCTTTTACTCACAGACGCTTTTACACACAGACGCTTTTACACACAGACTCCTTCACACACAGACGCTTTTACACACAAAGACGCTTTTACACACGGACGCTTTTACACACAAAGACGCTTTTACACACGGACGCCTTTGCACACAAAGACGCTTTTACAAACAGACGCTTTTACACACAAACACATTTACACACCCGCTGTCACACACACACACTAGACAAGAAAGGATCTTTGAAAAGATCCGTCAGGAACTGAGTCCTGTAACATGCAAACCAGCCTAGACAATTAGACCTAAAGTAGATCCCCTTGTAGTACTTCTCGAAAACGATGTAGGGCATCCAACGTTGTCAAACGGAGTCCAAACCAGATTCCAAAAAGGTGAATAGGATCATCATGTTGATAAATGTTGATAACCAAAAGGTGATGTCAACAGCGAAGTAGGTTTCGGCGATGGTTTTCCAAAATAATCAAAGAATACATCGGCGACATGGTTTCGGCGAAATAACCAAAAATACAGTCGGCGACATGGTTTCGGCGAAAACACAGATTGTGGCAACCGTGAAGAAATAAAGTCATTGTATTTGGGGTACTTGGCTTAGCCCCTTGCCATTCACAAGCACTGATTGCAAAAATGAAATGGACAGCTTGTTCAACAGTTCAAACTGGATTCTGCAGGTACAGGGAGGTGATCAGCCTCCCCTTCCCACCAATGGCAATAGCTTCGTTGCGTGCAGTATGCCAAAGGTGCTGCACGCCCCTGCTAAACTAAAGTCAGAATAGATTGAACCAGAAGAAACTCGAGAGAAGAAGTTTTACATCTATTCAGATGTGTCACACACACACACGCACAGACGCCTTTACACACAGACGCTTTTGCACACAAACACTTTTACACACAAAGAGATTTTTACACACACAGGCGCTTCTACACAAAGACGGTTTTACAGACAGACTCCTTCACACACGGACGCTTTTACGCACAGACAGTTTTACGCACAGCGTTTTTACACACAGATGCTTCTACACAGAGACTCCTTCACACACAGACACTTTTACACACGGACGCTTTTACACAGACTCTCTTACACACAAACGCTTACACACACACACAAGTGCCATATTATGCTTGGGAACCCGCTTCGAGACCCAGGGTTCCGCAGCATGATAAGACATTATCATCACATGTCTATGATCAAAATGCCCTTTTACACTTGGGAACCCGCTTCGAGACCTATAGGGTTCTGCAGCATAATCAGACATGTTCATCACATGTCTACCATCAAAATGTCGTATTATGCTTGGGAACCTTCTTCGAGACATCAAAATCGCAATTTTTCCCAATTTTGACGATCGAACCTCATTTCGTGCGTAAGGGTCGCAGCAGGCCCGTCAAAATCGCACTTTTTCATCAGTTTTTGACGGTCAAATTTCATTTTGTGCGAGATTGTCGCGTTTCGTGATCGTTCGTGGCCACCGCCCCCGCCCTATATAAGAGAGAAGAGAAACTAGCAGACGAGAGAAGTGAGAGAGAGAGAGAGAGAGAAAGAAAACAAGGGGGGGCCTGAGAACCCAAAAGCAAAACGACAGCAAACAAATTTGAGTAATAATTGGTTTATTTCCTTTTCGCCCCTTGCCAGCATCTAAGGTTTTGCAGCCGATAGGGGGTCTTTGGAATTTGATTTTAGGGTCCTTGGTGATTTAGTTCTACCTCTGATTGTGTGATATATGTTTTCCATTATTTATTTCTTTATCTATCTTATCTATCAAGGTAGGTGGCCTTGGTATATACTAGCGAAAATGATCCCAAAGGAAAGATCGTCTTGGGTTAGTGTCCCTTGGATGTTTCAATATTATTAATTCTTATCCGTCCTTCGGTAGTCATGCCAAAAGGGGATTGATAATTAGTCTCTCCATCCATTTACTGTTCTTTTCGTGGAAGTGCCAGTCAGAACAAACGATCACCATTCGATCGTAGTTCAGATAGTTTTTTTGGGGTTGGGTACTTATTTTATCTTTACATATCAATATATGCAGCCGATGGGGGGTCTTTGGAATTTGATTCTAAGGTCCTTGGTGATTTAGTTCTACCTCTTTTTGTGTGATATATGTTTTCCATTATTTATTTCTTTATCTATCTTATCTATCAAGGTAGGTGGCCTTGGTATATACTAGTGAAAATGATCCCAAAGGAAAGATCGTCTTGGGTTAGTGTCCCTTGGATGTTTCAATATTTTTAATTCTTATCCGTCCTTCGGTAGTCATGCCAAAAGGGGATTGATAATTAGTCTCTCCATCCATTTACCCTTCTATTCGTGGAAGTGCCAGTCAGAACAAACGATCGCCATTCGATCGTAGTTCAGATAGTTTTTTTGGGGGTTGGGTACTTCGATAAAATATGAAATATATTTTACCTATATATATATATATCTTTATTTATATATATATATATATATGCAGCCGATGGGGGTCTTTGGAATTTGATTCTAGGGTCCTTGGTGATTTAGTTCTGCCTCTTTTTGTGTGATTTGTGTTTTCCATTGTGTATTTCTTTATCTGTCTTATCTATCAACTCCTCACTCCGCACTCCGCACTTTACATGTTACACTCCTCGCTCCGCACTTTACACTCCTCACTCCACACTCCACACGCTACACTTTACACTGCACACTTCCCACTTTACACTCCACACTCTGCAATTTACACTCCGCACTCCACACTTTACACTCCACACTCCTCACTTTACCCTCCGCACTCCACACTCTACAGTTTCCACTCCACACACTACACTATACACTCCACACTCCTCACTCCTCACTCCACACTCTACACTTTACACCCCACACTTTACAGTTTGCACTTTACACTCCTCACTCCACACTTTACACTCTACACTTTCCACTCTACACTCCACACTTTACACTCCACGCTTTCCACTCCACGCTTTACACTCCGCACTTTACACTCCACACTTTTACACTCCACACTCCACAGTCTACACTTTACACTCCACACTCCAAAATCCACACTCTACACTCCACACTTTACCCACTGCGCACTCCACACTCCACACTTTACATTTTACACTCCTCACTCCACACTTTACAATCCACACTTCCCACTTTACACTCCACACTCTACACTTTACACTCCACACTCCACACTTTACACTCCACACTCTGCACTCTACACTTTGCACTCTACACTCCACACTCTACACTTTTCACTCCACACTGCAGACTGTCAACAAGGGAAATATGTATATACAAGACTGTTCAACAAAACTATTGCAGAAAAGTGTTCTGCGTGACTGCATATCCATGCGTTTCGACATCATCACCATTAACATACGTGTGAGCATTCGGGTTCGTGGGCTGCATCTTGTTCTTTCCCTTTCTTTCCCTTTCTTTCCCTTTCCTTTCCCGTCCTTTCCCTTCCTTTCCCTTCCTTTCCCTTCCTGTCCCTTCCTGTCCCTTCCTTTCCCTTCCGTTTCCTTCCTTTTCCTTCCTTTCCCTTCACCCACACCGTCCGCACCACGGTTCAAAGCAGCTCGCTCCTCACGCGGTTAACCAATTAAACGAGAACCCAAGCATCGAAGATGCTTTTGGGAAAGCAACACCATTTAATAACTAGATACAAAAAATGCACACGCCAAGCGAGTACCCAAAAAAGCAAATCACCCTACCCCATGTCTCCACCCATTCCCTGGCCCCACCCCCTTGCATCCATTTTATCGGTTAATCTATATGCGCACATAGCCAGCCGAAAACATTTTCCATGCTTGTTCTCCCCCCATTTCCAGCCACTCCGTTGCACCCACGCCGTCCAAGCTCGCTCATCCCCAACGTCTTCTTCTCCCCAGCCACACCCTTGCACACACGCCGTCCGCAGCCGTCCGCGCAGCCCAGCTCGCTCATTCCCAGCACCTTCTTCTCCCCCACCCCATTTTCAGGCACTCCTTGCACGCACGCCGTCCGCAGCCGTCCGCGCAGCCAAGCTCATCCCCAGCGGCTTCTTCTCCCCACCCATTTTCCACCCACTCCCTTGCACCCACGCCGTCCGCAGCCGTCCGCGCAGCCAAGCTCGCTCATCCCCAGCCACCCCCTTGCACCAACCCATTTCCAGCCACTCCCTTGCACCCACGCCGTCCGCAGCCGTCCGCGCAGGCAAGCTCGCTCATCCCCAGCGGCTTTTTTCTCCACCCATTTCCAGCCCCCTGAGCATCAAAAAGTCTTTAATTAGAGGGTCCTCTAATTAGAGGTTTTTTTTTAAGGGATAATCCCTTAATTAGAGTTTTTTTTTTCAAAAAAAGTCTCTAATTAGAGGTTGTTTTTAGAGGCTTTTTTTGTGAATAAGTGGGTTGTGGGATTCTATAAGAGCCATAAGACATGGATGTTAACCTGACATGGAACTTTTCGTACCTCTGTGTATGTTTTTGTCGTTTGGAAGAGTTCGGGAGCGGCAGCACCGCGTCCGCGAAGATTTGCAGCTCAAGTCTGGTGGAAGAGATGAGGAAAGCCTCATCCATGGATGTAGGCTACCTGTCCAAGACATTGAGGGGCAACTTGTCTGATCTTCCCACCATGTGCAGCCATGAGACGCATGAGGAGCTTCTTCGCGACATTTTGCAGAAGACACCGCGGTTGAACAAGGAGGAAGCCGTGAGGGCTTTGCGCAGCGCTTTCCCTGGTGCTGACAAGGCGGCGTCGAGTGCTTTCGCTGCTAGCATGGTTGTTTGCGTGCAAAACATCTTCGCCAAGCGGAAGTGCATGACAAGTGGCAAGAAGTTGTCGCCGAGCTTGGTGCGTCTCATCTCCTTGGCCGATGAACTCTATCCTGCGGAGCGCAGGGACCGAATGGCAGAGGCCGCACCGGCTGCTTCCGCAGCAGCAGGCAGCAAGGCAGCAGCATTGCCAGTTGCAGCCTCGAGCAGGCCAAGCAGGCAGCTGAAGAAGGTGGACAGTATTGTGTCAGTGAGTTCTGCGGCCTCGTGCGGGGAGGCGATGCGCATTGCAACACCACCCCGGGAAGCCGTGGCGGCATTGTATCGCCCTGCTGCTGCGGAGCATGTCTACTACACAGACGCAGGGCGTCAGACCATGATTCGCATTGGGCACGATGGGGCCCAGGAAGCAGCTCAGAGTTTGAGCAAGGGATCCTCTGGCTTTGTCTTGGCTACTTTTGCTGATGGTGAGCAAAGAGAGACTGAATTGCCCAATCTCATTTTGGAGAAAAAAACGCCACCAGCACCAAAGAGAGGAGTGAAGAAGCGTCCAGCCGCGGCGCAGACCGTGACGGAAGCAGCCCCAGTGAACGCTACCCCGGCGAATCCTGAGTCTGCGAATTTTAGGCTTGAGTACCGTAGCAAAACTAATGCCTATTCCATACGTAAGGCTTCGGTTGTTGATGGCCGCTGTCAAAAGAGACAAATAGTAGAAATTGTAGGCAGAAACAGAATTTCCAAAGAGGCCCTGAGCCAGATTGCGACAGAGGTGCGCAATCGTCTTGTGCAGGGTGAGTGTGAAGAGGCAGTGGCACACTGGGCCAAAACGGAAGTTTCGAAATGATTGCAAATTTTGCAGAGGATGAAAAGCGCGGCTTTTTTTCTGCGCGTAGTTGGAACAGGACTGTTGTTGTTTTTTTTGCTTGGCTTGGTTTTTTTTGTTGCTTTACTTGGAGAAAGAATTGGTGCTTTCGCCCCTTTTTTTATTTATGGGGTGTTTTCGGAAATTTTTGTGAGTGCAGTGCAAGTGCTTGCTTGAGGGGCTTGGACATTGGAGTGTATGTTCGTTTCCGTAGCCATTTGTTTCCGCAGCCCCTTTTTGTGTTTCGACCAACTGCTCCTTTTTCCGATGGCCACCGTAGATGTGCGAGTCATTGGCGAGAGCTCTCCTGGGTCGACCGGAGGGTCGGGCGGCGGCTTTGGCGGCGGCGGCTTTGGTGGTGGCGGCTTTGGTGGTGGCGGCCGCGGCGGCGGCGGACATGGCCGCGGAGATGGGGGCCGGCGCGACATGGATGATGAAGAAGATGAAGAGGAAGACCTGAGCAAGTTTTCTCGCAGAAAGTGCCAAAGGTGCGGGAAGATGGAGTACCTCAGGAAAGGTGGTTGCGCCAATCCTGCCTGCGCAGCTTGGATGTGTTTTTTTTTGGTTTCCCCTAAGAAGAAAGAAACCCTCCAATAAATAAGGGAGAAGTAATGGTTTGTTTTTTTAAACACTTTTTTCCGGGAGTCTGCTGCGCTCCTGTTTTTTTTTTCAAACGGTGCCACTGGCACAGTAAGGAACTGTTTTTCGCGACGCAAGCGAATTGGCAGTATGCGCAGAAGGGTTCCGACTCCGCTCGCAGCTGGAGCGACAGGTCCCAGTACTCCAGCATGTTGCAGCGGAAGTCGAAGGGAAGCAGGCATCGAGACCGTGGCTTTGCGCGCGGCTACAGCACGACTGAGAGGGCGCGGCGGCCTCGTGCAACTGCTGCTGCGGCGGCTGCTGGGACTCATGAGCCTGCAGCTAGTGTGCCTGCAGCTCCTGTGCCTGCAGCTCCTGTGCCTGCAGCTAGTGAGGCTGCATCTTCGGTACCTCCGGGGATTTTAGCCTTGCAGAAGCGCTCGGCTTTCCCTTCACCAGCAGGAGCAAGGGGGCCATGGCACACGCCTTATGCCTTTGTCGCCAGTGGAGAGCCTTGGATGACGTTTTTTAGTTTCCCCTGAAGGTATATGAGTGTGTTGTACTGTTTTTGTTTTTCCTTCCAACTTTTTTTTCGGGGTGTCAGCCACCCTGTTGATATGAGGGTATATGTGCGTATGAATAAACAATATAGTTAGAGCACCCTTAATTTAGGGATATGTCAGTTTCCCGAGGCTACAAGAATCAATACCACTTCTTGGACCCCAACTTCGCTTCTGCATCGCAGCAGTCCCCGGGTGCAAATGGAAATTGGGGTGACATGGCAGCAGTCCATGCTGCCGGCAGTTGGAGGGGATCAGTTTGGCGCTGCTCTGGCTGCTGTGCCGCCGGTCGCTGGTGTTGCCGACATGCTTGCCGCTATGATGGGAGGAGCAGCCAGTGCGCGGCCGGCTTTCCCAGGTTGGCCCGCACCAGCAAATGGACCACCTGCTGTGCCACCAGCTGGGACTGCTGCTGTGACACCAGCTGTGGCTGCAGAGGTGCCTGTGGGAACGGTGCCTGCCGAAGCTGAGCCGGGGGAATCAGAGGCGCCTTCGCGTCGTAGACGCGCAGCTAAGGCAAAAGCCAAGAGGGCTGCAAAGCCTGCTGCCAAGAAGGCTGCGGCCAAAAAGGCTGCTGCTAAGAAAGTCAAGAAGCCTGCCAAGGGCCGCAAAGGATTCTAAGTAGGAAGCTACTGTGCCGCTGACCGCCTCTTCCAGAAAAAAGGTGCGCCTGTTAGAGTCGTGGTGGGTGTCGAATGTGTTGACAGCTAAGTAACTGCGTCGGAGCAGTCGTGCAGTGACTACATGAGAGCTGGTCACGTTCCGGGTTGGAAAAGCATGTTGTTGTTTTTTTTTTGCGGGAGATTTTTTTAACTCCTGTTTTTTTGGTTACCGGTTGGACTGCCTTTTCTATTTTTCGGGAGTGATGTCGCTCCTGTTTGTTTTTTGATGTTTTTTGCGGGGACCAAGAGAATACCTGCTGCCAGCATTTTGATGAGACAAGAATAGAGATCGCGGTAGAAATGTCGCAAGATAGTATGACTTCTGAACAAGAAGCCAGCTTGGCGGAATTGGAAGCGGCCATGGAAGCAGCTATTGCAACACCACCTTCCAGTAGCCACGCAGCCGCTGGACATGGGACCTTGCTGGATTCTCCAAGCACGCCTGAGGAGCTGGCCGTGTGGGAGCCCAAGCGCACCTTCAAGAAGCGTCATGCGCCCGATGATGCTGCTGCCACTCCGGCTCCGCCCAGAGACAATACCCAAGACTTTGGAGAAGTGAAGGTCCTTTGGGTCAACTCTGTTCCCTTTGTGCACTCAAGCAAGACAGGCTTCGTCTATTGCGGGACAGCTGTGATGTCTCGTGAGGGGAGGGGAATAGATTCTTACGTTGACTGTTTCACCTGTTCTTGCAACCTGCTGTACGGACACCAGGATACATGCACGTGCGAATGTCATCTTTTGAAGGATTACTATTTGTCCTACCAACGCGCGCGCAATGCCAAGTCCTGCCGCATCGGCCCTTTGGAGCTGCCAAGCCAACCATCGGATTCCCAGGTTGCTGTAGACTAATTAGAGATTTTGTCCAGAACTGCGATCGTCTGATCGCAATTTTGATGCTGTCTGCGCCATGCCTGGAAAGATTGAGTTGGACTGCTGCTGCAAGCGGGGAGGTTGAAAATTTCAACCTTGCAGGTTGAAATTTTCAACCTCTTTCCCTTTAAAAGTAAAGCAAACCAGGTTGAAAATTTCAACCTTGCAGGTTGAAATTTTCAACCTTCACCTTTTGTCCTGGGGCTCACATACTTTTAACATAGAAATTTTTGGAGACATGATGGTGGACAGTAGAGCTGATGACTTCCCCCAGGCTATGCCCTTGACCTGAAAGAGCGTCTTGCCATTTCTTGTTCTTCGTGGGCATCAAGTGTGGTATGTGATTGCAAGTGTCTTTTTGCAATTGCGACATGTGAGTCATGTTTTGAAACAGTGACAGCACAAGCGTTTTGATTTGCTTTTTCTTACCTGCAAGATATGAGAGACAGAGACAGTTGGTGCGTGGTTTGTCGTTGCTGCTCAGCTGCTTTCGCGCGATGGCTCCGAAGGCGGCGGCCAAGAGTACTGCCACGGTGAAGGCTGCGGCCCAAAAGGCGCGGAAATTGCAGAAAGCAAAGGCATCACCAAAGTCGAAGGCAAAGGCTGTTCCTGACGCCACTGGAGTTGTGGCCGTGCCAGATGCCCAGCCAATCACCAAGGCAGAAAACCAACGGCTACTCAACGTCCTCAAATACCGTGCAGATCCTGACAAGAACAAGAAGGGTGAGAATTTGGCAGAGGCTCAGAAAGTCTTGCAGGCAGGGTTTGGCAGGGTTTGGCAGGGTTTGACGGTATGATTGGGAGCCCAACTACATTTGAATTTGTTTACGTAGCGTGTTTCACAGCATAGCTTTCCCCTTCATGCCCTCTGTCGACCTCTTCCGCGAAATGCGCGCAGCCGGCTAGACTTACCGCAACTTGGATGAGAGCAAGAAGCAACACTTTCTGCAGAATTTGAAAGCCCACGGCCTGCAGAATTTGACATGGTTTGGACAGTTTGCTGAGACTCGTGAAGAAACCGCCACCACCACCCACAGTGCCACAGAAAGTTTCCTCACTGGGTGCCTTGTTTCTGCTGGATTTGCTTTTTCCGCAGGCTCCTTTTTTTGGAATCTCCTTTTTTTGGAATCCCAAGTTCCTTAATGCAAGCAACATGAAAACACACATGGTATATTTATATTCTCATTTTTTTTCGCGGATGTGGGCTCAGGCCAAAAATCTTGGAGATGAATGGCTTGCGCTGGACAGACTATGCCCCGGAGAAGCAGCAGGAATTGTTGGAAGCCTTGCTGGAAGAGAGCGCTGCCACCTACAACTTCCAAAGGGCGACGAAAGACCATGCGATTCCCGAGCTGGTTCGCTACTTCTACAAGGAGCAAGAATCGACTACAACGGCTGCTACCAACAAAGACGCTCGCACTTTCCACATCCATGCTGACATGGACAGCTCCCAAATGTCCAAAGCTTCCAAAGACCAGGTGGAGATCAAGATCGAGAACCCAAAAAAACAGGAATTCGCCACTGCTTTGAAGACAGCCAACCAGGGCATCAAGCGATTGGAGCGTCTCTACAATGATGCTCAGAAGTTGTCAGCCCAGTTGCAAGCTTCTTTGCCAGAGAAGCACAAAGAGTTCCAGAAGCAGTTGGATACATTTTCCAGTTTCTTTACCCAGTTTCGGCTCGTCACCGCGGCTGCCGAGAAGCAAGGCAAGACCGACCTGGCGGAAGATGTTTGCGAGAAAGAGGGTGGCAAGCTGCTTCACTGGTGCGACCAAGCCGCCCAGCATATGGACGAAGTGATGCTGCTGAATAAGCGTGCCAGAGGGTGGATGGCCTAGAAATTTAGAGAACTCAGCTGTACCAGCTGCAATTTTGTCCATGTCCTTAGAACATTTCGCAACAGCTGCGGATGTCCTGCGCGGAGACCAAAAAAGATCGTGCTGTTGCACTCTGTCTTCCTCCTTTTCCTCCACTTCCGAGACTGCAAGGGTAATTTTGAATTCTGAGAACGCTGGGAGTTGTCGTCGGCATTTTCAAGTTTTGCAGTCAATTTTGAAATTCTTTCGGGAGCTTTGCGCTCCTGTCCACGCGCGCGTTCGTGCTTGCCACGATTCCCCCGCAGCCACGTCATGCATTCTAAGAAGAAGTTGCCCTATGACCCTGGCACTTTGCCACCGGACAAGCGCTTTCGCGCTAATTTGTCTGATTTGTTTCTAAGTGGTGACCTTGCAGCCCAGCGTGCCCATTCCCTGTTTGCAGATGCCAATGCTGCTGGGACACACCATGTCACTGACCTTGCTGGAAACAAAAGACCAGATGGCAATAGCGCGCGTGATTTGCTCCGACGCCTTCGAAAGAGCTCCCACTGGCCACCTTTGTACTGGGCAGATATCCCTGTGTGGTTAGACAAGAAGCAGAAAGAAGAAATCGTGCAAATTCCTTTTCTCTTACCCCACGAAGTTGTCCATGCAATGTTCCAGTGGACAGACATCGGCAATTTTTCCGATTTGGCCCACCTGCCAACGGATGAAAGAGCTTTGCTGGAGACTGGCAAAATACTTCTTGGCCGCGATGTGCCTCTGCTGCCCCTGGGCCTCTGGATGGATGGTGTCCCATGCAATTGGGATCGCTCCCACAGTTTGAACGTCTTGACCATTAGTTTTCCCAGCGCATGTGGCCCTCATAGGAGTGTCCGCATCCCATTGTTTGGCATCAAGCAACACTTTTGCAGCAAGCACAAAACATTTGATGCAGTCTTCGAAGTTATTTGCTGGTCCTTGCGAATGTTGTTTCTGGGTGCCATGCCTTCTTGCCGACATGATGGCCAACCTTTCGCAACTTCTGATGCTGGTCGGAAAAACTGGGCCGAGAAGCCGCTGCAGCGCTGCATGCTGACCCAAGTGCGAGGACGCCCCGCGTTTGCCGTTTTCTTTCTTTAAATAAATAATTTGAATACTTTTCCTGTCCTCTTTTTCGGGCAGCCCAACTGCATTCGATTGTTTCTTTGTGCCCTGCGGTGCGAGGAGATTGGAAGATGCTCAAAGATGTTTTCCGCCTACCTCAGCACAATGAGAAGGCTGGCTGCTGCTGGCTTTGCCCAGCTACGCCCGACAACATGAGGGATGCTTCAGCAGCTGCGCCGTGGAGGGTGCCTTGGTGCACGACGGACTTGGTCCAAAGACTGCTAGCCCAAGGCCATCTTTGCAGCCCGCTGTTTTCGCTGCCAGCCTTTACCATCAACATGTTCAAGCTAGATTGGCTTCACATCATGGACTTGGGCGTCGCTGCTGATGTTGCTGGAAATGTTCTTTGGGTATTGCAAGGCAAGATGCCGGGTGCAAATGTGAAGATGCGCGTCAGCAAGCTGTATTTGCAAATTGCCAAATACTACAAAGAAACAAGGGTGCAGGACAAATTGAATACTTTGACTGAAACCATGATTCGAAAGAGCAGCACCACCCCGCCAAAGTTGACAGCTGGGGCTGCCGAGTGCCGCCACCTGATTCCTTGGCTTCTGCAAGCAGCAAAAGAATGTTTGAATCCCAACGATGCTTTCGAGGATACGGTCATCCAGGCCATCTCGTGCTTATCTACCATGTATGACCTTCTCTCCAACTACGCTCGCTCAAAGATGCGGCACGCGGCCGGGCGATTGGCTCTTCTCTTGGCTGCGCTGCGCGACGCTTCTGAGGATCCACTCTGGCGAATGAAACCAAAGGTGCATTTGATGCTGCACTTGGCTGAGAATCTGCACAGCCCCGCTGAGACTTGGACGTATCGAGATGAGGACTACGGCGGCTCCGCTGCCCGTTCCATGCGGTCGCGTGGCGGCACCGACACTCCCAAAGTGGCCGGAGAAAATTTGCTCCAAAAGTTTTGCTGCCGACACGACCTCCCCACTGCTCTCGGCATCGGAAAATGCGATTGCAGCGCTCCTGCTTTTCATTCTTTGTTAGGAGTCGTTTGATTTTTTTCGGGAGATTGCCTTCAGGTATCCTCCTGGCAGCAGAGAGAGATTCATGCTTTGCCTCACCATGTCCTGCCTGTGTCAAATTCAGAGTCATACGTGAAACACTGCCATCATACAAAGAGATAGGAATCTTGGAGAGTTGACAGCTTCCTACCATCGCATTCCTAAGCCGGTCATGCATCTCCACACACATACCATCCACACAATGATAGACTCCCATAAGCCATCTATTCACAAAAAAAAGCCTCTAATTTGAAAAACCTTTAATTAAAGGTTTTTTTCTTAATTAGAGGCTTTTTTTCAAAAAAACCCTTTAATTAGAGGTTATAACCTCTAATTAAAGGATTAACCCTTAAATTTCATCAAAATTTAAAGGTTTTTTTGAAATTTAAGGTATATTCCTTAATTAGAGGCTTTTCGATGCTCAGGGCCATCCCCTTGCACCCAAGCCGTTGGCAGCCGTCCGGTCGTCCCCAGCGGCTTCTTCTCCGCATTTCCAGCCACTCCCTTGCACCCACGCCGTCCGCAGCCATCAGCGCAGCCAAGCTCACTCATTCCCAGCGGCTTTTTGTCTCCAGCCAAGCTCGCTCATCCCCAGCAACTTCTTCTCCCCATCCATTTCCAGCCACTCCCTTGCACCCACGCCATCCGCAGCCGTCCGCGCAGCCAAGCTCGCTCATCCCCCAGTGTCTTCTTCTCCCCAGCCTCATCCACAGCACCTTCTTCTCCCCACCCATTTCCAGCCACCCCCTTGCACACACGCCGTCCGCGTCCGCGCAGCCAAGCTCGCTTATTCCCAGCACCTTCGTCTCCCCACCCATTTTCAAGCACTCCCTTGCACCCACGGCGTCCGCAGCCGTCCGCGCAGCCAAGCTCGCTCATCCCCAACGCTTTTTTTTGTCCACTCATTTCCACCAACTCCCTTGACCCAAGCCGTCCGCAGCCGTCTGCGCAGCCAAGCTCGCTCATCCCCAGCGGCTTCTTCTCCCCACCCATTTCCAGCCATTCCCTTGCACCCACGGTGTCCGCAGCCAGCCGCGCAGCCAAACTCGCTCATTCCCAGCAGCTTCTCCTCCCCATCCATTTCCACCCACTCCCTTGCAACCACGCCGTCCGCAGCCGTTCTTGCAGACAAACTCGCTCATTCCAAGCGGCTTCTTCCCCTTTCCACCCACGCCGTCCCCTTGCACACACACCGTCCGCAGCCGTCCGCGCAGCCAAGCTCGCTCATTCCCAGCGGCTTCTTCTCCCCGCCCATTTCCAGCCACTCCCTTGCACCTACGCCGTCCGCAGCCGTCCACGCAGCCAAGCTCGCTCATCCTCAGCGGCTTCTTCTCACCACCCATTTCCAATTCGCTGATCCCCAGCGGCTTCTTCTCCCACCCATTTCCACCCACTCCCTTGCAACCATGGCGTCCGCAGCCAAGCTCGCTCATCCCCAGCAGCTTCTTCTCCCCACCCATTTCCAGCCACTCCCTTGCACCCACGCCGTCCGCAGCCGTCCGCCCAATTCTCCGCACCCATTTGCCGTCCGCAGCCGTCCGCGCAGCCAAGCTCGCACTCATCCCCAGCACCTTCTTCTCCCCACCCATTTCCAGCCACTCCCTCGCACCCAGGCCGTCCCCAACCGTCCGCGCAATTCTCGCCACCCATTTGCCATCCGCAGCCGTCCGCGCAGCAAGGCTCGCTCATCACAGCGGCTTCTTCTCCACCCATTTCCAGCCACTCCCTTGCACCCACGCCGTCCGCAGCCGTCCGCACAGTTCTCCGCACCCATTTGCCGTCCGCAGCCATCCGCGCAGCCCCTTGCACCCACGGTGTCCGCAGCCGTCCGCGCCATTCTCCCCATCCATTTGCCGTCCGCAGCCGTCGGCGCAGCCAAGCTCGCTCATCACCAGCGGCTGCTTCTCCCCGTCCATTTCCAGCCACTCCCTTGCACCCACTCCGTCCGCAGCCGTCCGCGCAATTCTCCGCACCCATTTCCCGTCCGCAACCGTGCGCGCAGCCAAGCTCGCTCATCCCCAGCGGCTTCTTCTCCCCACCCATTTCCAGCCACTCCCTTGCACCCACGCCGTCCACAGCCGTCCGCGCCATTCAGGCAAGCTCGCTCATCACCAGCGGCTTCTTCTCCCTACCCATTTCCAACCACTCCCTTGGACCCATGCCGTCCGCAGCCGTCCACGCAATTCTCCGCACCCATTTCCCATCCGCAGCCGTCCGCGCAGCCAAGCTCGCTCATCACCAGCGGCTTCTTCTCCCCACCCATTTCCAGCCACTCCGTTGCATCCACGCCGTCCGCAGCCGTCCGCGCAATTCGCCGCACCCATTTCCCGTCCGCAGCCGTCCGCGCAGCCAAGCTCGCTGATCTCCAGCGGCTTCTTCTCCCCACCCATTTGCAGCCACTCCCTTGCACCCACGCCGTCCGCAGCCGTCCGCGCCCATTTCCCGTCCGCAGCCGTCCGCGCAGCCAAGCTCGCTCATCACCAGCGGCACCCATTTCCAGCCACTCCGTTGCACCCACGCCGTCCGCAACCGTCCGCGCACTTCCCTGAGTCTCCAAAAATAGTAAATTTACTAATTTTCAAAATTTACGTAAATCGAAGAATTTAGGTTTTAAAAAAGCTTAAAACATCAAAATTAGTAAATTGATTTAGGTATGTACCTAAATCAATTTAGGTTTATACCTAATTTTTCTTCATTTTTTGGAAGCTGTTTTTTGTATATGTTTTTGTTGAAAAACATACAAAACTAGTTAACAAATGTTTTGGAAATCTATAATTTTTGAGATGGAATCAATGCATTCAGGTTTATGATTTGTTCTTTTTTTGGTACAAGTTTGAGGTGTAAATAAAATGATCATGTAAGAAA